CAAGCAGGCCTGGCCTAGGGAGGATTTTAAATCGGGTTCATTTTTTTCTTTAGAAAATTTTAAACAGCACAACTCTAAAATATTTGGTTTTAATTTGGTTTTATTGGGTGGGGATTATAAATATGTTTCTGTTTTTAAATATGTTGTGAGCCGCCCTGAGTCCCGTCGGGAGAAGGGCGGGATATAAATCAAAATAAATAAAATAAATAAATAAATAAATAAATAAATAAATAAACTAGACATACCCAATTCCAGCAACCGTTCCTTATATGTTTTAGCCTCCAGTCCCCTAATCATCTTTGTTGCTCTTCTCTGTACTCTTTCTAGAGTCTCAACGTCTTTTTTGGATCATGACCATTTTTCTGTGTCCTTTAGGACTGTCCTAAAAAAAAAAAAGTCAGTGTTTCCTAACCTCTGAAAGGGATTTAAGACAGCCTCCCCCAACTTGGCATGGGCTAGGCTACTATTCTCCCCCAAGTTAAGGATTTAAGGGATCTGAACCCAGGCAGGCGGAGAACACAAACTGGCGAAAAATGGTTCCAGGGCTGATAACAACTCTGTGAGCAAGCCCAAAACGTTTCCAGGACGTGGGAGAGGCAAGAAATTCTGGGATAATCCCATGAAAAAAAAACACCACCCCTTTGTAGAACGATTGAGGTTGGGTTGCAAAACAGTAGCCGTAGCTTTGAAATCATCAGAGCATCACCCAAAGAATCTCCATTTTTTTCCCCCCTGTAGGAACAGCACCCAGAAGAAGAGCTGATTAAATCTAAACAGGATGAAGTCAACACAAGTTGGCAGAGGCTGAAAGGACTGGCTCTCCAGAGGCAGGGCAAGCTCTTTGGAGCTGCTGAGGTGCAGCGTTTCAACAGGTGATCAGCTTGACCAGTTGGGTCAACATGGTGAAGAATGACCATCTGCCTGGGTGTTTACAGGACGGTAGTAGCCCGAGATGCGTTTGTCTCCTCCTGCCTCCCTCATAAAGTCCTTTCTTGGGATATAAATAAAGCCACAGAGGGACTATAACTTTCGTTGCTTGCAATCTTCCCTGTCTGGAGAGTCTCAGTCAATCCAGGTATGGTTGTCCCCAAAGTGCTTGATTGATGCCTGCCTGTATTTACAGGGATGTGGACGAAACGATAAGCTGGATTAAGGAGAAAGAGCAGCTAATGGCTTCAGATGACTTCGGAAGAGACCTTGCAAGCGTGCAGGCTTTGCTACGCAAACACGAGGGCTTGGAGAGGGATCTGGCTGCTTTGGAAGACAAGGTGGGTGCCATTGGCTTGAGCAGATCCTTTTTTAAAACCTTGTGGGGGTTTTTTTTGTTCAATCACCTGAAAGAATCCCGCAGAAGAACTGCAAGGGTTTGCGTCCATATTGAACAAAGAGCTCTTTGAATCAATTAAATCAGTTCTTGCCAATTCCCTTTTTGCCGTGGTCAAAAAATCCAGTTTAGTTTGATTGTTTTGGTGACCAAAGGTTTTTTTTTTCTTTTTGAGCAAAATCTCCCAACATCTGCCCTACTTCTAATCATATTTGCTCGCTTAGAGCTTAATTTATTTCCAGCATATCCGTAAAGAATTGGCATGCGTTTTTAAGAGTTTGACACAACGTGCTTATTAGGCATTTCTTGTTGCTTCCCTTTTCCCCCAGCTTCTGTTGCTCTGGTGTTAACCTACGTTTCTCCGCTGTGTTTAGGTGAAGGCTCTGTGTGCAGAGACTGACCGGCTGCAAGAGTCCCACCCTCCCAACGCCTCTCAGATCCACGTGAAGCGAGAGGAACTGGTTGCAAACTGGGAGCAGATCCGCACGCGGGCAGCTGAGAGACACGCACGTCTGAACGACTCCTACAGGTAAGATGCTGCGATGCTCATAAAAAGAGCTTCACTTCTTCTCCTACCCCAAGCAAGGAAACACGACAAGGAATGAAGCTTGCCGTGGAATAGAAGACGAGAGAGAGGGAGAAAGTTTTCAGCTGTGGCAGAGTTCAACAGGGAAGCAACTCAGAAACGTGAACATAGAGTGTCAGATGAAGCCTGGATTAACGTTGTTTTACTCTTCTGCCTTCTCTCTTCACCGCAAGACTGCAGCGATTCCTGGCTGATTTCCGGGATTTGACCAGCTGGGTGACCGAAATGAAAGCTCTGATTAATGCCGACGAGCTTGCCAACGATGTAGCAGGAGCAGAGGCCCTGCTGGATAGACACCAGGAGCATAAGGTAAGATGCCACCATGGAATCTGGACTCTTTGACAGCAATAGCACTTAGCACTTAGGCTTATATACCGCTTTACAGTGCTTTACAGCCCTTTCTAAGAGGCTTATAGAGTCAGCCTGTTGCCCCCCAACAATCTGGATCATCATTTTACCCACCTCAGAAGGATGGAAGGCTGAGTCAACCTTGAGCTGGTCTGGATCGAACTGCTGGCAATAGGCAGAATTAACCTGTAATCACTCTAACCACTGCGCCACATGGTTCCTGGTTGAACTGCAGGCCTCCTTCAGCCAGTCTCATTGGGAGCAACTGCCAGTGGGTCACCAGGAATCCTTTGCCACACAATTGGCTCCTTGGCCCTTAAAACCAGAACCTTGAATAGGTACAAACTGGGTACCTAGAGTCCAGTTACTGCATTTTGCCTTGAATAGAGTTTACGGATTTTCATTTTTCATTTTATTCAATTTGTATCCCGCCCTTCTCCCGAAGGACTCAGGGCGGCTCACAACATTTTTTAAAACAAAAACAAACCCACAAACCCCACCGAATAAAACCAAATTAAAACCAATATTTTAGTGTTGTGGTATTAAAATTTCTAAGAAACCCAATTTAAAATCCTCCCTAGGCCAGGCCCGCTTGTTGGAAAA